AAGAGAAAGGTCCTTTTTTTTTTTTTTTTTTGTGAATGTGCTCAGCTTAAGAAAAATAATCTTTTGAATATGCATTAGGGCACATGTAGGTTTCATTTTTCTGTAAGTGATTTGCACAACTCAATAAGTTCCCATTTTTAAGTCAGTAATGCAGTGTGGGCATCAATGCCAGTCCACCCAAGCACTTTGGGGACATTTATCAATTGCCACATGGCAAAGCAATGCGAAACAGATCATGTGACAGATTTGCTGCAAGATTTTGAAATTCCAATGTAGAGCCGCTCATCCGACAGTTCATAAAAAAATAAATCAGATTTATTGAAAGTTTATAGCATCCAAGTACACAGCAAAATCATCCCACACTGATCCCATTGCCTTTCACTCGTTCCACCAGATAGATGTTGCTATGGTTAAACCTATCTGCAACATGGATCCGGTGGGGGATGATTTTGCTGTGCACTTGGATGGTATATACTTTTAATAAATCTGATTCTTTCATGAACTGTCAGATGTGCGGCTCTACTTTGGAATTTCAGGATTTTGTTTCGCCAGCACGTATTTTTTATGTGACTGGTTGGGTCCGTGTCGTCTGACTTTTGGGTATTGAGCGGTGTATAGTTTGAAACTCAATGAAGATTTGCCGCAAGGTTACTGCTTGAGTCATAAATTACTCCCATGGCTGCTCTAAAGTAACATTGTGACAGAATGAAACCTGACCACTTCCTAATTAAGCATCTGTTTAGAGTGAAAATCTCTTATCTTTAGTGATGTGCGTGTGCTTGGAGTTCATCCAAGCCTGCGCAGAACTGTCAGTGACACATTGCCCTCCCTCCCGATCTAATCAGTTGCAGCTTGGGTATTCCTTGCCCTGCAGCTACACATAACAAAGGTGTAGGGAATGCCCTGGCCACAACTACCTTGACCCAGAGGGTGGTGTGTCACCGACAGTTTGCCATGGGCCACGGTGAACAAGGTTCACACAGGCCCGCGCACATCACTATCCAGTTATGAATATGTTTCAGAACTTTGCAAACTGTTGCACATGGCTGCCTAGGAAAATATAGACTGAATACAGATGCACAGGTCTGTAAACCTGTTCCTGTTGCAGAGAGAGGCAGCCTGGTTTGTGACTTAGGTTGCTAATTTGCTTGATAAATGTTCCCCATAGTTCCTGAACATAAATTAAAATTGTATTTTTTTTTTCAAAGGTAGAGTTTTTTTTATCAGGTTGCATGTAAGCAGGGTGCACCTTCTATAATATTTAACTTGTTCTTTGACCTGTAAGCATTTGTGCAGTTTTAGAACCTGAAACCTGAGTACTAGAACAATGGATTTGAAATGGAGGGTTAAAGATTTATGACAATGACTATTTTTAGTAACTGTATAATCCCTGCAACATCTTTCAAGATGGATTCTTAGCAAATTGTTCATGGGAGTTCATGTTCAGTCATTGCTTTCCTTTCCCTACAGCTCTGATGTCTGTGAAGGAAATGGCAAAAGGAATCACATATGATGATCCCATAAGGACTAGGTGAGTCTTGAGTTTGCCAGAACTTTTTATTTTTATTGATTTGATATGGGGATCCTGAAAAGGGTAACATCAGTGGTGAGCCTGCTGTAGTTTATTTTTGGTGGGGTCTATTTATCAATTATTTTTTTTTTTTTTTAAAGATTAAAGGTATCAATTATTTTTTAACCCAAGTGCCACAACTCCAGAGAGACTCCATTAAGAAAATGAGTGAGTCTTAAGTGAAAGTTGTGTGAATATTGGGTAAAACATTAATAAACAGATTCTAATATGTTTTTGTTTCAGATTGCTCTGAAGTTATTGGACTTCTCTAACAATGCATGTAAAAGCCTGTGACAACAAGGGTTATGTGCTGTCATTCATTCCTATGTGCCCATATTATATGTTGACTTCTTCCATTTATTTATTTAACATCGCAGTGATACTTCTTTTTTTTTTTAACCTTGAACATATTAGTAGATATTGTACACTATCTTTTTCTTTTTTTTTTCATGACAGCTGGCGTGCTCCACGTTATATTCTAGCAATGTCTCAAGCACGCCATGAACGTGTCCGGCGCAAATACCACATTTTGGTGGAAGGCGAGGGCATTCCTCAACCTATCAAGACTTTTAAGGAAATGAAACTTCCTGCGGGTAGGTACAAGTAGCTATCTTTGCCTTTTTAGCTTTGCTGTGACTGATTTGTTTGTAGGACATTCTTCTTACACATTATTTTCTTTTCAGCAATTTTACGAGGATTGAAGAAAAAGGGAATTCTGCATCCTACCCCAATCCAGATTCAGGGAATTCCCACTATGTGAGTAGATGAAGGGCTGGTTTTATCCCTCCCAAGCTTCAGGATCCAAATCCAAGCAAGGTCCTCAATTAGCACATCCTGATGCCTGGGTCCAGAGCATCTTAACCTAGGTGGTCAGCTACTTTCTTAAGGGGTCATAGTCCCTGTTCCAGAGACAGAACGATTCCAGAAGTTTTACTCCAACCTGTTCACTGTCCCTAAAGCAGGAAGGAGGGGGGGGGATGATTCCAAAAATTCTGTATGAAATCTACCTGCTCTGTCATCACCTCCCTACACACAGTAGACTTTATGCTGTCAGTGTACATCAAGAATACATATTTGCCTATCCCCATTTTCCTGCCCATCAACGCTACCTGTGTTTTTCTGTCACCTTTTTGTCTTCAAGGTGCTGGCCCCTGTTTTGGCTCTGCTTTAGTCTCAGGGGATCCCTATAGTGTAGGGTACTTTGCTGATCTTCTCATAGGGCAGTTTGTACAAGCTTTACCATCCGGCAGTCATCGGAAGATCAAATATACAACACATTCCGAGCTCCTAAATCAACCCTACCTAAAGTAGCTGTGCTTACTGAAATAACATCCACCCAATGACTCTCTAATCTTAAAGTAAACTGCCCTCAAAAACAAACGAGCAAAATGACAATAAACGTCCTTAAAACTGTTTTAACAATCAAAAATGTAATAATTCACATTTCTCAATGTCCAATCATATCCTCGGTGCTTTGCAATTAAAAAAAGTGCTCATCCCTTATTGAGAAGAAGTGGATTTAATCCTGGCCTGGGTGGAACTTCACGTCCTGGCCCTGTCCATAATGCACATCCCAGGCGTGGAAAATTGGCAGACGGACTTCCTCAGTTGTCAAAGTCTGGATCCTACAGAATGGTACCTTTGTCTCGAGGGAATGCCGAATGTGGACATCCTGGCATCCAGGTTTAACAACAAACTGTACATGTTTGCCGCCAAGACCAGAGATGGGCCTTTAGCATCGGGCATCGGTATCCCACATCTGATCGGATGAGGTGGAGGGGAGGGGCTGTTGACATCACAATCTTCACCTCATTGAGTCAAGGGATGGCTTATATTTATTGAAAAAAATACAAGGCTTTCATTACATGTTGGCGGTGCCGAGCCAGAGACTCTCTGTTTTCAGTGCGCAGATTGGGAGCCACAGACAAAAAAAAACAGCCATTACTGTAAGTAGCACGGACTACTACAGTATTTTGCATCCTCCCCCGCAGCCCTCCGGATGAACAGATCTAGAAACTTACATCGAGCCAATCTGGACTAATGTAAGTTTCCATAAAAAGATCATTCCTGGAGTTTCGCTTTAATTTAGTTTTTTATTCTTCCATATAAAGGATATAGGATAAAGGCACTGATTGTAACTAAAGCTGATTTTCATTAACGTGAAATTTCCAAATACCTTGCCACATGTTTTATATAGACTTTTAATACGTTTTATTGCATGTTTTATTGCAGCTTATCGGGAAGGGATATGATCGGAATTGCTTTCACTGGTTCTGGAAAAACACTGGTGTTCACCCTGCCTGTCATTATGTTTGGTCTAGAGCAAGAAAAGAGACTACCTTTCACAAAGAGGGAAGGACCGTATGGACTCATCATTTGCCCATCGGTATTTGTCAACAGATTTTGTACTTTCTATGCCTGTATCTTTAAAAAATAAGTCAAGGCAACTGTGACTTATTTCTTTACAGATATACCATGACCTGGATGAATGAGAACCTTCACAGACATATTTCTAGCAACTAAAGCAACTCTGTTGCACCCCCTGAAAAATCTAAGAAACGTCTCCTTGTGGTAAACACTGTAAATACTTACTTCTCCAACAGGCGACATGTCTGAACATCTCTGTGAGCCTCCAGCAATGTCTTCACAACTCAACACTTCTGGGAGTTTTGCATGCTTGCAATCCCCAACACACACCTTTGGTTCCTTCCTCCAACCCCTACATTAGTACAGGGTCAACAGGAGGAACCACGGTGCATGGTGGGGGATGCAGGCATTCAACACTCTCTGTGGGAGATTTGTGGAATTTTCAGGGGGAAGTCACTTTAACTCAGTAGAGTTTCTATTAGGAAACAAGTTGATTGCTAGTGAACAGTTCTTATTTGAAGAGCTATGAAAAGACTATCTGTCTGTTTGTACTACTTGTTGGCAGGTGCAGAACTCTTCTTAAAAGCTGCAGAAATTGATTGTTTGCAATAATTAGGTTTTGCAACAGAATAATAAATGAAGGTCTCATCAATTTGTCCATGCCATTTTTATTTGTTTTATTTAAAATATTCTGATTCTTATTAAATATGGGGGATTTTTTGAATTATTTCATAAATCTGAAATAATCAGTGATGGAAATGGCCTTAAACCTTCCCCAGTATATCCAAAACTTGAAGACAAAACATTTGGGTAAAGTTTAGCGTTCAATGGAAATCTGCAGAATGTGTGAACATGTCTTATGTTGCTATGATAGCCACCCAAAGATTCATGGCCTTTTCTTACCATTTGCTGATTATTCATGTCTCCTTTTGTGTTGTACAGAGAGAGTTGGCACGTCAGACACACAGCATAATTGAGTATTTTTGCAAATTGTTGCAAGAAGACAACTTCCCAACTTTGCGTACTGCACTTTGTATAGGTGGCATGTCTGTCAAAGAGCAAATGGAAACCATTAAGCAGTAAGTCTTCATTTCTTGCACAAATACTAAAGGCGCACCATATAGTGATCTGCATGTTAGTTGTAATAATATTCATCCAGTACCGGTTTCTTTATTGTCTGTCTGTGCAGTAATGGCAAGATTTGCTCCTACAGCACATCTTTTCTGCTGTGTGGGACAGCTTGGAGTTATCATCCTCCCACTCTTAGCACAGTAGTCACAGGCTGAGCTTTGCTTTTCAGTTGATCTACTCATGTCTCCTAACAAGTTATGTTCTTCTGAAAGGGTAACTAACGGCTTTGGTCTTTTTGTATTACTTTATACAAGGGATGCACCGATACCGGTATTTCGGTATCGAGTACCGATATTTTTTTTTTTCCGGTACTCGCCGATACTGAGTACCAGAAGTCTCATTCAGGAAGCCAGGCGGCGTGTAATGATTCGCCACCTGGCTTCCTGATTAGCAGGGAAGCCGTCCTTATGCTTCTCGTCACTAGGTGACGAGAAAGTATGGAGCTGACTTTCTGGCCAATCTGGAAGCCGTGTAATGAAGCAGCACCCGGCTTCTTGATTGGCCGGGATGCCAGCTCCATGCTCCCCCGTCATGAAGTGAAGAGATGGCTTCCCGGCCAATCTGAAAGCTGGGCAGCACGTCATTACATGCTGCCCGGCTTCCTGATTGGCCGGGAAGCTGGATCCATGCTCCCTCATCACAAGTGATGAGGGAGCATGGAGCCGGCTTCCTGATACCTGAAATATCGGGCTGGGCATCGGAGATGTGGCCGAGTACGTATACTCGCCCAAATACTCGGCATCGGCACCGATACTAGGATCTGTATCGGTGCATCCCTACTTTATACAATTACACATTTTTAGACATGTTCTATATTTATCCTTTATTTGTTTTGAGTCTTTAACTTACAGATACCTAAGGCAGGTTTTTTGATGGTACTTGCAGAGCTTGCCGGAATTTCTAGTAAGAGAGCCCAGGACTTGCAAGTGCATGTTATCTGCTTCTGCAGATTAAAACCCACTAGAAGGACCCTGATTTAAACATATTCTTGCATGCTCCCTCTAGTAAATTCTTCATCTATTTATCTTTATTATGCTGTATTACTGGTCTTCATTCTTCTGTAAGGTGCCAAGTTTGCTTAGGCATGCCATATGAATAAGCAGATATTTCAACACTGTTGCTCAGTTTATAGGTTTCTGTGATTATAATATTGTGAAGCTTTGAAGGGTGCTAGGCTGACATTTGTTATACACACTTCACTTGTCCTTAGTTATGCAATCTCTGTATGAGCTGTTTATGAGGTATCTGTAGGGACTTGTTAGCGTTGTCAGCATATTTTATTAGCTTAGAATACTTTAAAAACTTGCTGATAGCATTGGCTTGCCTTATGTAGCACTTCATATAAGAGAATGTATAATCACTAAGAACTTTATCAATGCCACAAAGAGTAATCGTGTATCCAATGCTTCTAGCAACCAATCGGATTTTAGCAGTCTAGTGCAGTCAGATTGTGGGACCTGGTTTTATTAGTGTATCCAGTCTAAACATCTTGGTGTGTCCTTCCATTAAAATTGGCCTGCAATTCAATGACCATTGTAGGGCATACAGCCTTATATGATATATATTTGTATACATTTTCCACAGTATAATGGGAAGGAATGGTAGAAAGTATGTCTAAAGGGTAAACGCACAAGGAAAAAAAAGACAAATAATATATTTGACTGACAGTCACCCAAAATGGCATAATAGTATTGCCTAGTTATCAGCAGTAAACAGCAATGGCTTAGGATAAAACTTTGCTTAAATACATTTATCCCATCCACTGTAGTTTTCTGTGTTTTGTAATCGAGTGGTCCCCCTGCTTTTAGAAAATAATTTGTGGGTATTTTTCAGTGTAGTTTCTAATAGAATTTGAAGGCACAGTACACCTTGGAAAAGCTTCTAAGCACATACAAAACTTTGTGTTTTTTTTTTCCCGCTTTAGGGGTGTTCACATGATGGTGGCAACTCCTGGTCGGCTTATGGACCTCCTACAGAAAAAGATGGTGAGCCTGGATATCTGCAGGTATCTGGCTCTGGATGAGGCTGATCGTATGATTGATATGGGCTTTGAAGAGGATATTAGGACCATCTTTTCGTACTTCAAGGTAACTACAACTAAGGGCCCACCAGACACTGCAATAATCACACAGCCCCCAGCACAGTGCTGAAGCGCTGATCCCCCCCCCCACTGTACTTTTTTTGTGTTTAAAACTTTATTGAAATGTCACAAATAACATTTAATTTACTTCTACGGGCACAGCAGGGTGTGAGGCGGTTGTACCGCTCCGCATTCTGCTGCATTAAAAAAAGTAAGACGGGCTTTCCTTTTTTTTTCCAACACGCACCACCGCATTGCAATGCAGTGGTGTGAATGCACACCATCCGTGACAATGCAAATTTCCTTGGGGCTGCGCTGGAAACACCAGCCAGCGCAGCTCCAATGCAGATGGTATGAATCAGCCCTAACCCTCCATTTATTGCTTTAATCTACTTTTTTTTTTTTTTTGGGGGGGGGGATTTTCCTTAATGCATCTATACACATATCCATATTTAATGTTCTCTCTCTAACAATGTAAAACACATTGGGAGGGAATTTATCAAAACTGGAGCAGACAGAAGAGGAGCAGTTGCTCATAATAACCAATCAGCGTCTCTCTTTAGTTTGTTCAGTTAGGCTTTGAAAATGAAACATAAAAGCTGATTGGTTGCCATGGGCAACTGCTCCAGATTTTGTCTGCACGAGTTTTGATGCATTCCACTCATTGAGGGGCATTTATCAAAACTGGAGCAGGCAGAATCTGGAGCAATTGCCCATGACAACCAATCAGCTTTTCTCTTTTATTTTCAAAGCTTAACTGAACAAACTGAAGAGAGACGCTGATTGGTTATTATGGGCAACTGCTCCAGTATTGATCTGTTCTATTTTCAGTAAATTCTCCCCATTCTTTTTTACACAACCTCTTTAAATCTGAACCCTAGGCACAGGTGAAATTATACTTGGTTAATAAAGATCTCAAGGCATATCTATAATATGTATTTCTTAATGTAGAGACTTCCCAGCTGATATATACCAAACTGTTTTCTGCTTTCTTTTCTAATGACTGTTCCTACCAGCAGTTCTTATTTTCTCTGGATGGCTGATCCCTGCCCCTTAGTAGTCCTGATTGAGTAAAAGGGGCAAAACAATGTTAAATACTAGGGATGCTCCGATACCACTTGTTTAAGACCGAGTACGAGTACCGATACTTTTTTTCAAGTACTCGCTGATACCAATTACCGATACTTTTTCTTAAAGGGACAGGGCAATTTTTTTCTTAAGCAATACAAAATCATGATTTTAGGTCAGTTTCTTAATATTATGAAGAACATGAAATGAATATTTATCATGCCATTGCTAACTAAGGCTTGTATCCCCATAGTTGGGAAAATAGATGCGCACATGTCCAGACTCCAGACCAGAACACTGTATAGTGTGGCACAGCTATATCCAATTCTGTATAACTGGCTTTATATTATTATACATTTTTTTATTTTTTAAATAAAGCCAGGTATGCAGAATTGGATATAGCTGTGCCACACTATACAGTGGTCTGGTCTGGAGTCTAGACATGTGCTCATCTATTTTCCCCACTAGGGGGATACAAGCCTTAGTTAGCAATATCTGCATAGTTATTTCTTTAATGTCTTTTTTTTAAATATTATATGCAGTTAAACAGCATGTTTGTGCTCAGCCCCCATGCGGTGCTGCAGTACTAATGGAAAACGATTTTGTTTCTGCCTGGAGATCCGAACCATTTAAATGACCCTTTATCTCATAATTACTTGTCAACCAGATCCGTAACCAAAATGAACCATATATACCAAAAAGATAAACCAGCTAACAAAAGTGGCTGGTTTAAAAAGGGTTAACAGAGGATCGGGACAAGTATTCCAATTACAAAAGGAGTTTATTAGATAAAATATCAGTTTTGGACATAAATATCATATCACTAACTGGTTTTAAAAAAAACCCTTAAAAACATGACACACAATTATAAATCTTCAGGTATGCAGATCTGTTTGTATAATGTGCTCTCATTCATATATGCTAATCAGCTGACACCAAAGGATAATATGTTTCATATAACGTATTATCCTTTGTTGTCCGCTGGTATCTGAAATACACGTATTAATCTCCAGTGGGAGAAACAAGGAAGTTACATAGTAGCACCTTCTTAAAAAATCAGTTTGTTTCCCACATGGTTTCAGCTGATTAGCATATATGAATGAGAGCACATTATACAAGCAGATCTGCATACCTGAAGATTTATAATTGTATGTTATGCTTTTTTTTTTTTAAACCAGTTAATGATATGATATTTATGTCCAAAACTGATATTTTAGCTAATATACTCTTTTTGTAATTGGAATACTTGTCCCGATCCTGTTAACCCTTTTTAAACCAGCCACACTTGTTAGCTGCTTTATCTTTTTTGGTATGTATGGTGCTGCAGTACTAACCTGCTGTGTCGTCTTCTCCATCTGCTTCAGCCACTCCGTGTCACAGCCTAGTCATCTGCTCCATTCTGACCTCTTCTCCCGCTGATTGGCCGATTGGAGGAAGCCTGTCATCATCCAATCGGCCAATCAGCGGGAGAAGAGGTCAGAATGGAGCAGATGACTGAGGACATGGAGGAGGAGTTCGCGGCCATCTTGTTTTGTTGAAGACGCTATGGAGGTCCTGTGTGCAGGTACAGGTACTCGTTTTTTGTATCGGAGTATTTACACGAGTACTCTCGTGCAAGTACGAGTGCAAATACTCGGTATCGCTGCCGATACCGATGCTTTTATCGGTATCGGAGCATCCCTATTAAATACAAAAGTCTGTATGTACTTTTGATATTGTTATTAAAGACACAGTAGTGATCTTTATTTCCAGGCTGCTGATAGGATGGAGTATTTTGGGCTTAATTATTATGTTTTTATGTACCTTCAGTTGAACTATTTATTTTTATTTTTTTCCAAATACTACAGCTGGGCTTTAAAAGTTGTAAATGCTTCACTTTTTCTCACTGTGTGTATATATAGGGTCAACGACAGACACTTCTCTTTAGTGCCACTATGCCCAAGAAGATCCAGAACTTTGCCAAGAGTGCCCTTGTAAAGCCTATCACCATTAACGTGGGCCGTGCAGGAGCTGCAAGCTTGGATGTCATACAAGTAAGGCACTTCTCTTTAAATTTCTATACACTCCCTATTCAAAGCTTCTATTATATAACACGTTTGTTAATGTAAATAGCATGAGCACATAAGGTATCTCTATAGCTTTGTACTATTTAATAGTATAAAGCAACTAATGTCATGCTTTTGTTTTCTCAAGGAAGTGGAATATGTCAAGGAGGAAGCAAAGATGGTTTATTTATTGGAGTGTTTACAGAAGACTCCACCTCCTGTGAGTATATAATTTATGTATTTATTAGAAATGCCCAAACATAGCATTTTAATAAGCAAAGTAAACCAATATATGAGCTGTCCCGGGTCAAAAAGCTTGCCATGAGCACAAACATACTTATCCATTGCTGAAACAGTGACTTGTCTTTGTTTAGTAACTTCTGCATACTGTATGTTAATGCTGTAGCCGATAATATCAAGAAAGGAATCCCCTGATGATTGCTTTAGTGGTGGACTCTGGTACCAATAGCAAAGAAGGTGAATAGAATGTATAAACTAGGGCTGGTAATGATTAAAATTTTCGTCTTCGATTAATCCAAATTTTTTTTAATCGATAAATTTTTTATTAATTATAACGCACATACAGATCCAACTACATTGGCCTATACACATACAGCACAGCAATGAAGTAATAAAATGAACTAGGATCACACTAATCCAGCACGTTATTAATCTCACGTGCCCCACTCAATATGGCTGCCGCTAGAGTGGGGCAACTCAGAATAATAACGTGCTGGATTAGTGTGATCCTAGTTCATTTTATTACTTCATTGCTGTGGTGTATGTGTATAGGGCAATGGCGTGGCTGGCGCTCGTGCCGAAAGTTTCTTGGTCAAACTCACCGGCCCAAGTGGCTCCGTCAAGTATAAACCTAACCTGCCTTTCAGTCAATGGGTAAAATATGATTTAAACAATGAATATGGTGCTTGAAGATCAAATTTATATTTGTTTTTGTTTTACCCTTCCTTCCAGTGATATTGCCTTGACTATCTTCCTCACTTCTGCATTTTGGGTTTGAAACAAAGCAATGTGGAGGAAATGGCTTATGATATAGCTACATGAAAAAGCCCAGTTTAGTTCCTTTGTTGTGGAAATATGACCAATTTAGTGTTCAATCTATACATTTTGTGGAAATGGTCTGGCTCTTTGGCTGTATATACGTCTACCTACAAGATGTGTAATATTATTTTCTGATTTTGTTTTCCCAGGTGCTGATATTTGCAGAGAAGAAGGCAGATGTAGATGCTATACATGAATATCTGCTCCTTAAGGGGGTGGAGGCAGTGGCTATACATGGTGGCAAAGGTGAGTGTTGTCTTTTTTTGCCTTTCACGACCCTCATTGAAGAACTTCTTTGTACTTATTTGGCACACATACATGACGTTTCTCTGTAGTCATTACAATTGGGGCAAGGCCTGAAGAAGTGATGAATTCCATGGCTTGCAGGACAACAGGGTTTCTAGCCTGTTCAGTGCCTTCAACACTGAAAGGCAATGCACCTTCTCCACCCCCATCCCCCACCCTGAGTATTTACTGTGGACTATATTGTGAGTAACATCTAAAAAACACACTTAAGTTGATAGGGAATTGGGTAATGCAAAAAGCATCAACTAGAAGGCTTGCTATTTCCAACCAAAAGCTCCGTATTCATTTATAGTCCCTTATACAGTGAAGAAAAGTACCACCCATTCACTGAACTGTAAATCAATCTCCCGTCAACATTTAGTGTATACTGCATAGGTGAGCTGCAGTGTATTATGCCTTCTTTGTATTAGTTTATCCCTGAATGAGATTACCATACCTATCCCTGTTTGTCGAAGACATATCATCAATCTTCCGTTCTGTCCAAAGGTAGCCTGCAGTTGAATGCCCTGTAAAGTATTGTACATGTGGATTAGGTTTTTAGATATTGGAAAAAAAAATACATAATAAAATCAGTGTTGTCTAGGCCAGCGTTTTTCAACCTTTTTTTTTTCCCACTCGCAGCACCCTTTTAACAGTATGCAACATTTTGAGGCATTCCAGGCTAAAATGTAGAAAACGTAAATGTAAAATAAATGACGTGTGG